TAGCGTTCACGGGAAAGACCAGGGCGCCAAATCGCATCCTGCCGGGGGGCCGCCCATGAAATTTTTTACAGAACCCTTCCCCAGAGTATTCTAATGAACCCACCAAAGTTTAATGGCGATGGGATGCATGGTGTCAACCCAAAATCTACTTTTATTTTGATATACCGTATATAGAAAAAAAAACAAATTGCGCCCTGTCGGGGCGCCACCCCTTCGAATTTGAATTTTTTTTTTTTACACAGAAACCTCCGCAGGATAATTCTCAACAACATCCCAAAGTTTCACGGCTATGTGATAAGAGGTGTAGCAATGCATAAAAGACAGACACACACACACACACAAAGACATACATTGCTTTATATATATATATATATATATATATATATATATATATATATATATATATATATATATATATATATATATATATATACTTGCGTACCCGTCCCCGCGCGTTGCCGCGGGAATAGAAGATAGTCCGACGAAATATATAAGAAGGGATTCATCCATGCGTTACCAATCCTATATTCTTAGCAGAGGCGTATCCAGGTTTTCATTGCAGGGGGAGCGAAAAGAGCAAAGAAGGCGCCGAATTTTTAACACGTTCTATATATGTGTATTATATATATATATATATATATATATATATATATATATATATATATATATATATATATATATATATATATATATATATATATATATATAAAATTACTAGCTGTATGTCATTACTTCGCTATGATGTAAAATAAATTGAAAGTAGCACTCTGAAGAAATTTAAAAAAAAAACACAATGTAGGCCGACAAAACAATAATTGTATCAATCTAAACAATATATATATATATATATATATATATATATATATATATATATATATATATATATATATATATATATATATATATATATATATATATATATATATATACACACACACTACAACCAAAAACTATGAACGTAACACAATCTGTTTTGTAATTCTTGTAAACAAAATTTCTTACATAATAATTCCTGGGAAATTATTTAAGACAAGTGAAATAGGGGAAATAATCACTCTCTTAATATAAATATGTATTTATCCACACATTTAACTATAAATGTCAAAACAAATAAATAATTACTTTAGAATATAATGAAATTGTTTAACGCTATTCTTGTTTACAAAATTTTTTTATGTATAATCAGAATTTAATATATCGTCATCATAAATGCTAAAGTATTACAGCATAATGAAAGTTTTAAAATCAGAGTTGGTATAAAACCACGCTTTTCGATTTGAATGAGAGACAACCGGAATAATAGCCTACATTTAATTAACTATTGGTCTTTTAGTTCAGATCATATATTTTAATTAACTACTGCTTCTTTGAGTTCTTTAAAGATCATTTTTAACATAGTGATAGGTATGGGTTAGATCACTGTATTGATCACAAACCTTTTTACTGGTAATTGCAAAAACAATATTCACAGAGTTTAACGTTTAAAAAGCTAATTTTCTGGCGGCATGGTACTTTGGTATATCATTACGCGTTTTTCTACATGTACTTAACAGATCAGTTCGGGGTGAGTCGGGGGGTGGGGGGGGGGGGGGGTCAACTTCATTCACCACTGTCCGTTCACTTTAGGTCAATTATCCAACCCAGTGTATACCTAGGTGTGACATTAATGTCGCTCTACACAATTGTGGTGGTGAGGTGGGGTGGATAACCAACTCAGAGTGAACATCAGTTTTTAGATGACTGTTCTAAACATACATATATATTACACAAATATATATTACACAAATATATATTACAGAAATAGATTTAAATATGTAGCAGTGGTATTATGACAATTTTTTTTTACCGAGGGGTCCATGGGGGAGGGGGGTTGTAACTGTTTCATATAATTTGTAATCGTAATCACTATCGCCCAAACTGTAAGAAAACTACTACTTCATCATGATGATGTTGTCGACCTTGTCAAAAGTTCCCTACCACTACGCAGTTTGCTCATAAGTAAATTTAAATAGAGGTGCCACATCAGTTGTATTTGTTTCTGTATTGTAATTTTTTTTTTAATTAATCACACGATTCAAACTGTATATATAAAGTAATTATTTGTGAAGTTTTATGTTTAACATTTTCTAATTCAATTATTCGTAAGCAAATACATTATACAGTTACCTTAAACTTAACACCCCTCTTGCCAAGTGGTACTACCCGTAGAGGTTTTTTAAACATTGCAATGCATTGTAATGGTTATTTTTAGAATGGCAAACTGATGCAGCTGTTAATACGTGTTGAAAACGTAGACACTACTAGACTAGTACAATAATGCTTAATTACTGCATAAAAAGAAATCTTGTGATTTACATAGATGTGCCGACCAAAACTATTTTTTTAACAAATACCATTGTTTAAAACTTTGAGTTTAAAAAGTTTCCAAAAAGGCGCCACTTTGCTGAAAATGGCCAGAGGGGGAGCGGCCGCTCCCCCTGCTCCCCCCCTGCGTACGCTACTGATTCTTAGACTCGTGACCTTGTTTTTATAAAAGTTAGTTATTTAAATGTAAATAATGCCTGCGCTTGAATCATAAATATCGGGACACGGGTTTACCTACACTACCGTGTGAAAACCTTGTGTGTACATTAATCACTCACCGAAATAATGAGGTAAAACACACTTCGGTGACCACCCATGTGTCTGGGACGTAGAGGGGCGCTCTCAGGAGCCCCCCCCCCCCGATTACACCATCGCATAGGCGCAGCGTACGGCCTCTGGCTCCTTAAAACTAACAGGCGCCATCGTGCTCATAGGATAACCCAGAGTCCCAACTCGCATCCTGTAAACAATGATGCAGATTTCGTCATTTGCTGACGTGACACAAATGAACAGGATTTTTTTTTCTTTAACACGTAAAAATTATTTGACGTGTTTTAAATATCAGTGTGACTGATGCTGATGCAATATGGTAGCGTTACTAATGGTCTATTATTAGATGCTCGATCTCAATTTCTGACTGGATCGTCTAATAATAGATGCTTATTGCATCATTCGCAAAGTGACGAAACTACAGTAGGCTCCTCATATTCAAAAAGTTATTTTTTCATCTTTCGCAAGGTGACGAAACTGTACAGAAGGATTTCCTCGCGTTACAAAGTTATTTTTAGAAGCCTGTTGTAGCTTTACCGCTGAATATAGTAGTACCCATTACTCGCTATGAAGGACGCTCGATTAACGGAAGCCAAGTGCCAACATAGTCGCTCTGAAACTTTGGGCGCCAAACCGTGCATTGACGAAAATTGTACCCTAAATGGCACCACCCATAAGAAACTTTAGTTTTCTTTTTTGCAGAAATATTCTCGGGAGTATTCTCATCTACTCCCTTAAGTTTCATGGCACTCGGATGAACCGCATCCGAGTTTTATTTTTTATATACCGTGTATAGAGAAAAAAATCGCTCTCCCCTGGGGCGCCGCCCTTGCAATATTAAAAAAAAAATTTTTTTTTGCAGAACCCTACCATTGAGTGATCTAATCATCTCCCCAAAGTTTCATGGTACAGAGTATAGGGGACTTATTTTAATCAACCAAAATTTATAAATGCAGATTTATCAAAATTTCGGCGTTTTGTGCGTAATCGAGTCGGAAAAACTAAGAAACTCTGTCCGTATGTTTTTGTGTGTGTATGTGTGTCTGTCTGTATGTCAACATGATAACTTGAGTACCTTTACAGCTAGGTTGATAAAATTTCATATATATGTATTGTATCAATTTTGTAGTTCTGTGTCAACTTTTCAGCGATTTCCGATAAATTGAAGTGGAACTTATTCTACTTTTAGTTTTCCAAAAGCCTGTAACTTAAGTACTGATTAACGATAGATAGATAAACGAAATTTGACATATAAGTAAAATATCTGATTCTCTGCCTTCTTTTTAGTTTTGAGTAATTTCCGTTGGCCGGATTTATAATTTACCCGATTAAAATAAGTCCCCTATACTCCGTATGAGATGAAGTACTGAGGTGTAAAACTGTGAAAACTGTCAAAATTTCATGTGATTTTTGTGCACGATTACAATACTTCCTCTATACTATGTAGGCCTATGTAAGAAAGTAAAAATGGATAAAATACGTTTTAATAACAAGCTTTTATATGATAGTGTACTACAAAGGAGACGAAGAAAAAAGATTTTCTGTAAATATATAATAACTAGATAAATGGGACTAGTTTGATAGCGTTGTCTTTTTCTCTTAACTGAAACCAAAACCAAAATCACCAATCAACTTCAAATTTTATCGGACACGAAACATGTCGTTGAATCGGCATTTAAGCGAGATTTCACCTTGATCTACATGTAGTTACTGCACATTCATACTAAATTTAGTCATAATCAAACACCTAAAACTTGCACTTTAGCTCGCATTTAGGACGTCTATAGCCCACTATAACGAAATAGAATGTATATAGAATATATACTTTTACCAGTGTCAGTCCCCCTCCCCGTAAAATTGAGTCCACCTCCACCTCCCTCCCCAAAAAATATTTTTTCAAGTGCCCTCCTCCGCCCGGGTACAAAAAGAAGTCTGAAAGAAACACCGGTCGCATTTGTAGATCATACAGATGAAAGGTAGACCTACTCAATCATGCAGATAGTGTTTCTTTCAAAAAATATTTCAGGGGGGGGGGGGGCACTTGAGGTTTTTTTTTGGGGAAGGGGGCGGATTAAATTATCTGGGTAAGGGTGCCGTCATTATATAAATTGTGACTACATGTCCATTATAGCATAATAAATTTCCACAAAATGGGACAAATATAAAGTGTGTTGGCATAAATAATTTGTATTTGCGTTATTTTTTCTGTTAGCACAGATTTTCTTTTGCGCATTTTTTTTTTGGGATTGGTGGGGGGGGGGTGGGGGGTAAGGGGTTTTAAATAAAAACATACTTGATTAACAAATAAAAAATATTTGAAAAAAAACAACAATAAACCAATTAATTTGCTAAATTTTTTTTTATAAATCACTAAGTTTAATAGTATGTCATTCTTGCAATAAATTCAAAACAAATGAAAATTTAATTAAAAGTTACAAAAGTTTTGAGGGTGAAATTAAAAACTGTTTTCAAAGATTAAATATTTTAAAACTAACTTGCTTATTTTTAAAAGTGAATTTAAAAGGCACTTATCGTAATTATTATCAGCTCAACTACTAAATCAATAACCTCTTTGGTAAATGATTTCCTGATGTCTATGTGGTAAGGATTTCGTTGACTTGAACATTTCCCCCGTAACCAAAGTAATTGATCTGATCAATATCATGCTTGTATTTGTACAGGCGTACACCTTTGTGGTCGATCTAAATATAAGAAATTGCATAAACTGAGACAAAAATATCAGTGTGTGCGGCTTAATTCCGTTTAAATAATAAAAACGAAATCACATTAATACTTGCCATCGGTACCAGTTACAAGTGAATTATAGGCCTGTATTTTTTTGCCGAAAAAATTGTATAAATTCCATAGCGTACGTCTTCTTAGTAGATTTATAGATCTAAATCTTATTTGAATGACATAGTTCATTCCTTTATATTCTAAAATTGGAAGATGTGGGAAGTGCATCTTAGTGAAGATGACGTCATTAGTATTGTGCATCATTTTCGACATTCGATTTCTAATTCTATTTTTATCGTATAATCAATGACGCCATTAGTGTTGTGTCATTTTCGTAGTTTAAACTTTTTATCAACATTGTTTGATCATGATATATTTCTCATTGTTTCATGTGCCGCCCTTGTTTTTGCCAGTGTTTGCTTTTGTGCTGTTTGTATGTTCTCTAGAGATTTTTTTTGTCAGAACTATAAACACTTTTCCGGTTGAATAATTAAATATGTGTTTCTACATTCGAATATGCCCTTACGCTTATTTTTCTTCTTTCAACTAATTTTAGTTTATTCATTTAATACATCCAAAATATGATTTGTAACAAATTTCCGTATCTTTAAGTTCTCCATATATTGCTGAAGATACTGATCATGGGCTTATATATATATATATATATATATATATATATATATATATATATATATATATATATATATATATATATATATATATATATATATATATATATATATATATATATATATATATATATATATATATTAGGATACTGACCTCAATATACCCTGGCAGTAATGTAATCTTCAGCTGAAATGGAATATTGACTTCAAATTTGTGATTCTTGAACACTTCTTCCATGCCCCATTCATTATTAGTCTTGTGGTTTATGACAATAGCATTCCCATACTCGTAACCAGTAAATCGGACATCGAAAGCCATAGTTATATCAGGTATGTTGTCCACTGTTGAGTTTTGTGCGTTCAAGCCAGAACTACATGCCAGGAAAATTGTGAACCTGTTTTCAGAATTATCAAAGTCGATTTTTGAGAAACAATAAATATGAATGTTTTTGCATTTTCAAAAAAAAAAAAAAAAAAAAAAATGATACGTTTCACATCGTACTTATGCGTCTGGTTTGAAATAATCTTCCATAGTTAAAGAATAATTTATTAAAACCTAAAAAAACAGAAATTAGTTTCAGCATCAACGAAAGTAAAAAAACCCGCTACACAGAATTGTCAAAATATTTGTATTAAGCTAAAAAAATATTATCTAAAAGAACATTTTACTCTTGTTAAAGTATGTTTATCAAAATTTACAAAACTATAAAAAAAAAGTTTCAGTATCGGAGAAAGAAAAAACAAACAACAATACAGAATTGTGAAATATTTATATTTAACTAAAAAGAATGTTCGAAAGCACATTTTAAATATTAATAAACCGGGAGTGATCTCCCCTAAACTTTCTCGAATATTCTAATATAACACTACGGGGGATGGCAACTCGGGACATAATACAATATTTTTAATCCATTTTTAATTACTTAAACTTGTTATAATAGAATAGAATCTCATTAAAAAAAAGAATTGCACGCCAAGTGAACGCCAAATAAAATGTGCATAATAGTGCGGGATATTATTAGTACTTTACAAATTCACATGCGTTTTTTTTTTTGAGAAATCGGAAACAGCGTAAATTACTTCTTTCGGTCGACGACTCAAAATTTGATAGCAGGCAGAGAATAAGATGTTATACTAACATGTGAAATTTCATTTATCTATCTGAAATAGTACTCAAGTTATAGGCTTTTGAAAAATTCCACGCAAAAAGTACCCCTTCCGGTTATCGGAAATCGCTCAAAAGTTGATAAGGATCTACGATTTTGATAAAATACATATATATGAAATTTCATCAACTTAGCTGTAACAGTACTCAAGTTATAGTGTTTACACACACACACACACACACACACACACACACACACAGACACACAGACACACAGACATACGGACAAGATGCAAAACTAGGTTTTTCCGACCCAGGGAGCCCTAAAACGTCGAGATTTGCAAAAATCTCTATTTTTTTTTGTACGACTGCAAGACTTTCTCTATACTTCGTACTTCGTATATACGAGAAAGTAATAAACCTGGAGTGATCTCCCCTAAACTTTCTCGAATATTCTTATATAACTCAGGATATAGACATGATTTTTAATTACTAAAACTTTTAAAAATAGAATAGAATCTCGTAGAAAATAAATTGCGCACCAAGCGAACGCCAAAACAAAATGTGCATAATAGTGCGGAATATTATTAGTACTTTATAAATTTACATGCGTTTTTTGATAAATCGGAAATGGCGTAAATTACTACTTCCGGTCAACGGAAATTACTCAAAATTTGAAAAAGTACCGGTTATAGGAAATCGCTCAAAAGTTGATCAGGATCTAAGATTTTGATAAGGTACTTATATATGAAATTTCATCAACCTAGCTGTAACGACACTCAAGTTATAGTGTTTACACATACACACACAGACACACACACAGACATACGGACAAGATTGCAAAATTATGTTTTTCCGTATCAGTGAGATGTAAAACGTCGAGATTTGCAAAAATCTCGATTTTCTTTGCACGATTACAAGACTTTCTCTATACTTCGTATATACGAGAAAGTAAAAAAGTAGCTGGTAGAAACTTGTGAACATATTTTAATACAAAAATATGTTATTTCTGAATCAACACCCCTCCCTTAATTAACGTTGGATATCAATTTAAAGATCTACATCCGATTTATTAGAACAATTTCCAAAACCTGCACTCAATCAACAGAACACACACAGAGCAATGAACAAAATATCTGTTTAAAGCATTCGCATTAATTAATTTTTGTAAGCGTTAATCCTCCCCCAATCTTAAAAAAAAAACTTTTATAGACTTTAGAGCCTATGTAAGTCATAAGGAAAAATAAACGTTAAAAATGAAACATATAGCGTTTATTTTAAATGAAATCAAATGTATATGATGAATTAGCGACACTGCTTATTAATCTTTTTTGTTGTGTTCAGTTTCGGGTTTATCTTGTGGTTCCTGTAAAGAGTCCGGTTTCTATAAACTTTCTGTTAAAGTCCAAGTTCCTTGTGGTAAAAGGTTAAGGTTAGAGCCGATGCTAAGTTTGAGGTTAAGCTTTCAGATGTAAAAAAAACAGTAAAGTTTCCCTTTCAAACCTGACGGTCTATGGGGCAAGTGAGGTAGAGTTCACTTGTTTCTGTGACCTCGGCATATGAAGAGATAGTGTGGTCAGCACTATGCCCAGCCGCCGTTCCTTTCCCTAACGTGAGTTAAATACCCATCAGAGTTGGGTGGACTCAGGGACGGTTTACTGACTTGAACCCGAATTCGAACTCGAGACTTACGGGTTAGCAGTCCAGCTCTCTACCGATAGACAACTCCGTCCCACAAGCTTTCAGATGAGGTTAAGGTTAAACTTTCAGCAAAGGTTTAGGTTTGTCAGCATAGTGCTCGTTTTAGTTTTTCCTCAACGGACTAATAACTCTTTTTTTAAATTAATTTTCATCATATACAATTAAGAGAATATTTTATAAGAGTTCCTTAAAGTTGGCTAAAAAAATATAACATTGCCCTTTAAAAGCAAATCATGAAGAAGAAAAAATGCATATACCTTTCTGTGTTTTTAGTTGGGAATCCATTGACGATGATCATTTCTCCAGCTGGGTCTACCTCAAGTTGAACCACCTTTGGCTATTTAATAAGAACTTACTGTTTAGAGTTTGCTAATATTAATATTTTCCAAATCATGTTTTATCGGAAAACTATCATTATTTTCCAGCATTTTTTTCTCAGCATATATATATATATATATATATATATATATATATATATATATATATATATATATATATATATATATATATATACATAATTTTTATGAAAGCCCTTTCAGTTCTAATAACCTTTCTCAACTTTTTTGAAAACCTAAGCGAAGCTAGGCAGTATGCCTAGTTATTTAATAAATAAAAAAGAAGTAGGCTTTTTAGTGTTAAAAAAGTACCAACTGAGTACAACAAAAGTAACGAAAAGTAGGTCAGGAAAATAACATATCTGTGTAATTTGTAAAGCCGATTGTAAGCTTTGGGTGTTTCCAAGATGATTGAAAATCCGCTTATCAAATAGGCTACATAAGAAATGCAGCTTTCCAATTATGTCAAATACAATATGATGACGGATTATAAAACGTTTAGTAGAAATCTTGTAAAATTGAGATGATTTTTTTAATTAACAGGGTCATAAAAATGGTATTTTAAACACAAAAAGGGTTTTCATTCTCCTTCTTCTTCGTTCCTAATTTTTGTTCCAATAAGTCTATTATTTTCATACTATACAATTGAATTAGAAAATAGTTAAATCTGCCCATAAATTCTTATTCGTGCCTTAAAAAAAACATGTATGTATATATATATATATATATATATATATATATATATATATATATATATATATATATATATATATATATATATATATATATATATATATAATCAGAGCTAAATTCTTCTTTTAATAAAAAAAAAGGATTTTGTTCAACTTACCGGGGAACGATACTACAATTGTTGAAATCAATTTAAAAAATCGTGTTAGTGCGTATTTATTAACATACTATAAGACATTATAATAAGATATAACAAAGTTTATTATATAAAAATTGTCGTATATAATATGTAATCTTGCTTTAAAATATAGTATACTTTTTATCGAAAACAATATTTTCTTGGTATACCTTCTTTAGGCGTGTTATACTGTAAAGATTTATGCAGCTGTCATATTTACATTTTGTAACAATAATTTGGAACAACCGTCATTTTTCAAATATTCAGTGACTCCACATTTTTTAGTAATTTTTATATTAATGTATCTATTACTTAAACATTTATATTTAACAGATAACATCAACCATCAAAGTTTCTCGAATGACTCCATTTCTTCTCCACACATAAAGCATACATACACTTATAGACAAACACAACGAACCGAGTAGAAAATCCTCTTGATGTCAACATTACCATCAACATGTATGTAGTGGATTAGATCTTTGGACATTTGGAGCTTAAAATCTCTAAAAAACACGCCGTTGACGGACAGCTAAAAATAAAATTTATTTAAATAATTTCAAAACTTAAAAAAATAATTACTAGAGGCCCATTAATATTTTTTTGCAAAATCTACATACCTTAAACAAATTATTCAATAGAGCTATCTTGAACTCAAAGTCTTTCCCTTGGACAAATGGGATTGTTTCTACTCTATCTTTCTCATCTGACCAAAGTCCGTCCTTTTGGTAGGTTATCCACACATTATTTTGGTTAAAGTCAACGTTAACTTGTAGAGGTATATTCTCTGAACAATATTCATTGTCAGAGAGGCTCACCATAAAGCTGAAAGAAAAATAAACACATTTTCTCTAGCATGAATAAGAAACATTTTAAAAATGTGGTTATAGTGTTATAGCAAAAGCTGTCTACTACAACCAAATACAACATGTAAGCAGGCCAGCCTGGGTGCGAAATGCTAATAAAGAATGAACTAGGCGTAACATTTGACCCCCCAACCCCTCCGCACCCGATGACATATAAATAGAAGAATAATAATCTTTAAATCTTTAAATCTTGATCATATATTTGTTTATGTTCTAATAACACTTTCTACTAAGTCAAGTTTTTAATTCTGTGTCTGTTGTGACATTGAAAGCTTAGTTTAACCAGCAGCTTCCGAATTGCCTGCGTAGTCTCATATAGTTTACTATTGTCATTTTAAAAACTTTTCGGTGGAATTTCATGATCCTGTCCATTGCAAAAATAAAGGAAAGTAAATCAATAGCAAATTAATACTAATAGTTTCGTTGTCTGTGTATGTATCTGTCTGTGTATCTATCTGTCTGACAAGAACGCTATAGAGAAAACACAAGCAAATTAAAAACATGCATAGTTAAACGAAAACGAAATATGACGTCACATTTAGCATATAGTAGAAAATAGTATCAAGCCGGAGAGTGCACACAGTAATATGACGTCATTGATTCTCGAGTAAACATTGAATAAAAAGGCAATTTTGTCTCATCTAAGTGGTTTGCGTGAAGAGTTTCTTTCATACAATTCTTCGGGTAGGGGTGAAGCCCCACCCCCGCGTAAGAACGTCTGAGCCCCCCCCCCCCCTCCCAAACTCAAAAGAAATTTCTTCATAGATACTCTATAGTAAAATTACCGCCTAATTAATGTGTCTAATCTAAAAATTAGTTTGCTTGCAGTTTATTTCATTCAATTCTTCGGGTAGTGGCTAAGCGCGACACCAGTGTTTCTTTCAGACTTTTTCCTCCCCGGAGGGGGGGGGGGCTTTTTCTAATCTAAAAAGTGTTTAGCGTGCACAGTTTTTTTTCATGCATCTCTTCCGGTAGGGGCGAAGACCCGCAGAGGTTCTTCCTTTAGTTTGTATGATCTACAAATGCGACCAGTGTTTCTTTCAGACTTTTTCCTCCCCAGCGAGGGGTGGGGTTACTTGAATTTTTTGGGGGGCGGGGGTAGAATTTCCTGGGAGGGGCGGACACTGGAAAAAGTATATAATTATATTTCGTTGAATGGGACGGTAGACATGTTTTGGGGTGTGTGTGGAGGGGGGGGGGGGGTTGAGCCCCCTCCTCCCAAGTAGAGTTGCCTAAAAGAAACTCTTAATGCGACATTCGTCATGAATGAGATTAGGTGCATGGTTTAGGGATATGCCTATGACTAGATTTTGTATAAATTAAAGTACCGATTCTGGATAAAAATCCGTTTTCAATGTCATTTTTCGTTTTCGGTTAAATTGAATTAAGGTGGTGATTTTAGTTTTGGTTTTAGTTTAGAGAAAATAGACAGCACTATCAACCTAGCGCCCATTGTATCCTTCCTCAACGGGCCTTTTTTCTCGTCTATAATAATAGTTTCGCTGTCTGTCTATCTATCTATCTATGTATCTATCTATCTATCTATGTATCTGACAAGAACGCTATAGAGAAAATACAAGCAAAATAAAAACTTTCATAGTAAAACGAAAACGAAACATGACGTCACATTGAGCATATAGTAGAAAATAGTATCAAGCCGGAAAGTGCACACAGTAATCTGACGTCATTAATTCTAGAGTAAACATTGAATTTTAAAAAAAGCCAATTTTGTCTAATCTTAAAAGTGGTTTGCTTGCAGAGTTTCTTTCAAGCAATTATTCGGTTAGGGACGAAGCCCCAGCCCCACCCCCCCCCCCTAAACAACGTTTAAGCCGCCCGCCCCCCCCCCCCTCAAAAGAAATGACGTAATCGAAACTCTATAATAAATAACCGGGAGTGATCTCCCCTAAACTTTCTCGAATATTCTTATATAAAATAACAGGGGATGGGAACTCGGGCTATAGACATGATTTTTAATCCATTTTAAATACTTAAAGTTTTAAAAATAGAATAAAATCTCGTAGACAAATTAATTACACACCAAGTGAACGCCAAATAAAAAAGCGCATAATGGTGCGCAATATTATTATTACTTTTAAAATTTACATTAGTTTTTTGAGAAATCGGAAGTAGCGTAAAGTACTTTTAATAAATTTAATAGAAGGTAGAGAATTAGATCTTTTACTTACGTATGAAATTTCATTTATCTATCTGAAATAGTACTCAAGTTATAGGCTTTTGAAAAATTCAAAGTAGGAAAAGTACCACTTCCGGTTATCGGAAATCGCTCAAAAGTTGATACGGATCTACGATTTTGATAAAATACTTATATATGAAATTTCATCAACCTAGCTGTAACGGTACTCAAGTTATCGTGTTTACACACGGACAGACAGACACACAGACAGACACACAGACAGACACACAGACATACGGACAAGATTGCAAAATTATGTTTTTCCGTATCAGTGAGGTGTGAAACGTCGAGATTTGTAAAAATCTCGATTTTTTTTTTTTGCACGATTACAAGACTTTCTCTATACTTCGTATATACGAGAAGGTAAAAACACAGACAATACGGCCTAATTAATGAGTCTAATGTTATAAGTGTTTTGCGTGAAGAGTTTCTCTTCTGGTAGGGGCAAAGCCCCTTTTACCCCCCCCCCCCCCCCCCACGGTAGAACGTCTATTCCCCCCCCCCCCCACCGACGGTAGAACGTCTAATTCCCCCTCCCCCTCCCAAAAAGGCATAATATAATTCATAGAGAAAATATATTCTTTTACCAGTGTCTTCCTTCCCCGACCCGTCGAAATTTATTCGCCCATGCAAAAATTCAAGTGCCCCCCCCCCCGGAAAAAGCCTGAAACGAACACTGTCTGCTCTACCTTTAGTTTGTATGAGCTACAAATGCGACCAGTGTTTCTTTCACAGTTATTCCTCCCCAGAAGGGGGAGGGGTTCTTGAAATATTCGGGGGTGAGGGTGGACTAAATTTTTTGGAAGGGGTTGGACACAGGTAAAAATATGTTTTTTTTAAAATAAAAAGTATTTTTCGTTGAATGGGACGGTAGACGTGCTTTATAGTGTGTGTGGGGGAGGGGGGGTGCTTGGGGCAGAGCCCCCCCCCCACCTAAATGCGACTTTATTCGTGTTTGAGATTAGGTGAAAGGTTTAAGGATTTAACTTCGACTGTGTTTAGTATCAATGTGCAGTAACTGCAGTAAAATGCAGATTCTGGATAAAAATCCATTTTCAATGATATTTTTCGTTTCCGGTAAAATTTGAAGTTTAGGTGGTGATTTTTTTTAAATTTCGAGTTAAATAAAAAAGACACCACTATCAGCCTAGCGCCCGTTGTATCTCTCCGTCAACGGGCCATTTATCTTGTTTGAAAGATTTTTTTAATCTTTTCAAATTTACTGTGGCGTGAATTCTTAATAAAACCCCACAATATTTTAGCAGCTTTTAAAAGAACCTAATCTAGTTTTTAAGCTTTCGTAACATGTTTAAATGCTTCTTGTAGACGATAAAGATGAGGAATAAAGCTTCAATTACCCTAATATCGAGGCAGTGGGATCATGTATTACACACCAATATATATATATATATATATATATATATATATATATATATATATATATATATATATATATATATATATATATATATATATATATATATATAAGTTGAATTTGTTGATATATTAACTGGCAAAACGTATATGTTAATCATATTCAAACGTTAAGAGGGGTAGGAAGAAGGCATTGTTAATGAAATAGAAACGTAGACATAAAGTATTATATCAATGTCAAAGCTAGACACAGGTTTTCACACGTTAACATAGCTAATAAGAGACATTTAAATGATGAAAAATCCGGCACTTAGTATTTCGCACTCGACATTAGCTTTTGGCTGATAATACTAGAGGTCGTTAGGGAAATTAAATTTATTCTCGTTTAATAGAGAACACTTTGGGGCCTTCTGAAAATAGGACTCCGGGTTGCAGCACTGTCATGTAAAGTACCATTTGCTTCCGGAATGTTGATTTTACATACCGTTTCAGAACGCTCCCCCCCCCCCCCCCACCACCACTTTAAAGGAAAAAGACGAAAAGAAAGTGAAATAAAAACAATAATAGGCATGAAAAAATCTATGTAATCATACTAACTTTAAAAAAAAAACTTGCAAAAAAATATGGCAAGCGATAAAATTATAGTTACATTGTAAAAATTAAAGCTGTTTTGGGAACCATAGATTACACTCATTTTTATATTTTTGTATCGAATATAGGCAAATGAAAATCCGTTTAGAATTATTTTATGAATTCAAATATTTTCAAAAACTGCCATCAACCTCTCCTTGAAGTCTACCGGAATGGACAGGGAGAGTAAAACAATAAAAGTTAAAACAATTATTTTCAATGATACAATACACAATTGTGATCTATGCTAAATGGCGTTGAATTGTAATTATAACAATAAAGCATCCCCAATCACCACAACACCCTGACTCTACTAATTCAAATTAAAAATAAGAATGTTTGCCAAATTACTATTAGATCTATATCATTAGTAATCATTTCTTTGACCATTTCTAGCCTTAATGAAACCGGAAGTAATTTCGTACTTATTACACAAATGTTATAAAATAACAATTTTGGTTGAAAAATATATTTTTTGGCAACACAAATTTGGAACCATTTGGAACCAGCTTTTTAAGTCTATTGTTGACAATTTCAGAACAAAGATGATTAAATTAACTAGTCTTCGTTGCTACTGAGTACCTTTATCAGTTTTTAGATATTAAATATTTTGCTTACTTTTGGGAAGTCTGAGGAATGAAGGATTCAACAATAATGGTCTTCTGGTCATCTATCGGGTACTTAATTTTCTCAGAGTATGATAGCATCAACTGGAAAAATAAATAAAATTTATATTAGAGGAAACATGTATGGGGCATTTTTATGTTTACATTTGTTTACGTCCATATTTATGTTCATGTTTACTTTCTCGTATATACGAAGTATAGAGAAAGTCTTGTAATCGTGCAAAAAAAAAATCGAGATTTTTACAAATCTCGATGTTTTACACCTCACTGATACGGAAAAAACATAATTTTGCAATCTTGTCCGTATGTCTGTGTGTGTGTGTGTGTGTCTGTGTGTGTGTGTGTGTGTGTGTGTGTGTGTGTGTGTGTGTGTGTGTGTGTGTGTGTGTAAACACGATAACTTGAGTACCGTTACAGCTAGGTTGATGAAATTTTATATATATATAAGTATTTTATCAACATCGTAGATAACTGGAAGTGGCACTTTTTCTACTTTGAATTTTTCACAAGCCTTTAACTTGAGTACTATTTCAGATAGATAAATGAAATTTCACATGTAAATGAAAGATCTAATTCTCTACCTTCTGTCAAATTTTGAGTAATTTCCGTTGACCGAAAGTACTAATTTACGCTATTTCCGATTTCTCTAAAAACGCATGTAAATGTATAAAGTAGTAATAATATTGCGCACTGTTATGCACATTTCATATGGCGTTCACTTGGTGTGCAATTCTTTTTTCTACGAGATTTTATTCTATTTTAAAAACTTTAAGTATTTAATATGGAGTTCCCATCCCCTGCTGTTTTATATAAGAACTAGCCATCGGTAGGCCTACACGTTTCACGTGAAATATAGGCCTATAAATTTTAAAACATTGAACTTGTTTGAGAAAAATAATATATAAAATAGTTATTGGTCAAAACGCAATGTGCATTACCACACGCTGAGCGATATTAGTGACAAAGCAAAGAAATAACTAATTAGCTAAAAAAATTCGACACATTTAACATAACACAGGCACACACTGATTAAGTGACTTAAATGATTCCGTTAAAACTCGGCTATTCCATAGTATTCTTCTTGTTTTTTTCCATGGTATTCTTCTTGTTTTTAAAGTGTTTTATTTTTATTAGGTTTTTATGTATAGATCTATAGATTTAAATGTAATAGTTCATTTCTTCATCGGTAACCATACCTTATTAAATGCACTCGCTGATTAAGAGACTTAAAATTAAGAGACTTAAAAGATTTATTTAAAAACCCGGCTGTTCAATTGTAGTTATCCAGATCTTAACGCCTACGCCTAGTTTTTCCGTAGATCTAATCTAGATCTAGAATCGAGATCTAGATCTATATCTAGAATCCAATTAGATAAAGTAAAAACTTATAAAAGTTTAGGGCGAGAAAATCATTTCATAGCGTACGTAGCTCTAAATCACATTTGAATGAAATAGTTCATTTCTTTATTTTATTCTAAACTCGGACGATGACGTCATTAGTTTTGTGCTCTTTTTTAGTGTAAACATTAAGTGACGTCATTGTTAAAAGCGCTCTTGTCCCAACTATAAACACTTTTCCAGTTGCACAATTAAAATTGTTTTTCTACATTCGAATACGCCTTTATTTTTTTATTTTTCATCTTTAAATAAAATGTTGGTTATACATTTAAAACATCTACCATATTATTTTCAACAAAATTCCGTATCAAGTTCTCCATATATCGCTGAAGATTCTGATGTGATATCCGGCGAAAATATTTTGCGGACAGAGAGAGAGAAGTGCGCATATGGGCTTTTATATATTAGGATATTCGAGAAAGTTTATGGGAGATCACTCCCGGTTTATTAGTTCAAGATCAAGCTCGTGTTTCTAATTATACAAAGTGGTTTGTTTCATTTGGCGTCACCGTATGTTAAGTCAAACTGTTATCCAGTTATTTGTTTTATATATATATATATATATATATATATATATATATATATATATATATATATATATATATATATATACATTTAAATAACCCTAATAATAGTTTAACTATTCTGTCACTCTGTCTGTCACTCTATCTTTCACTGTATATGTTGGGAACGCTATACTATCCAAGCAAAGTAAAAACTTTTACAGTGAGACGAAAAACGAAACGTGACGTCACAGGGAACATACAGTAGGAAATATTCTAAATCTGGAAAAGTGCACACTATAATATGGCGTCATTGATTCTAGAGTAAACATAGAATTAAAAAGCCATTGCCCAAAAAATACATAATAATAAGACGTCATCGATACTTGATAATAGGACACAAACATTACCACCTCATTTATTTCTCTAATCTTAAACGAGGTCAGCGTGCAGAGTTTAGGGGCATGACTACGACTATATTTAGTATCAATGTGTAGTAACTACGCATAGATCAAGCTTAAATCCGGTCAAAATGCCGATTCTGGATAAAAATCGTTTCCGGTTTAATTCGAAGTTGAGGTGGTGATTTTGGTTTTGTTTTCGGTTTAGAAAAAAAGACAACACTGTCAACCTAGCGGCCGTTGTATTTTTCCCTCAACGGGCCATTTATATATATATATATATATATATATATATATATATATATATATATATATATATATATATATATATATATATATATATATTAATATCACACGTACATTTGTAACTTTTTGTCGGATGGCGCTAATTTGTGCAAACATAATATTAATGCACCTATAGAAAGCATTTATGCGCCTAACTCTAACAGTTATTAATGCAGGTGAAAAAAATCATTGCATTTGTAGTAAATAATTAAATTTGGGGTCACTCCCTACTCCCTCAGGTGTGGTTTGATGTGTCAGTTACTACAATTCCCAGAAAAACCTTTTACTTCGGCAAATTCTCAATGTTTAGTTAGTGAGTCCCCCCCCCCCCCCCCGCCCCCCATCCTTCACCCGGTGATTGCTTTAAACTACCTACATGATCATATCAAATAAATAAATGATTAATTAGTGAAAAAGTATTTTAATAGGGAAATTGACAAATCCCGACAAGGGTGGTGGTGGTGGGGGGGGGGGGGTTGACACCATAACGTAAACCTGCTAACGATAAAGAAAACATTACAACATCCATCTGTATTTATTACTGACTATGGATGAAAAGTGTGGGCCATTTTATTATCTACTGGATACCTTTACTAATATTTAGAAAGAGACCGACGCTTTTCTTTATAGTTATTTAAATAGTAATGTATTATTCCGTATTTAAAGAAAATAATTTATTTTCTACTTTTTAGTGCAATTTTACATAAAAGTTTGTTATGAAGACGTTTTTTAAGGTGGGTTTTTTTCTTCACTATAATATTGTACTTTCTCTTATACAGGGTATAGAGGAAATATTGTCATCGTACACAAAAATCACATGAAATTTGGACACTTTTCGTCGTTTTACACCTCAGTACTTCATCACATAAGGAGCATAGGGGACTTTTTTAATCGGGCAAAAATAATAAATGCAGATTGATAAAAATTTTGGCGATCTACGCGTAATTGAGTCGGGAAAACTGGGCTTTGCAGTTCTGTCGTATGTCTGAGTGTGTGTGTATGTGTGTCTGTAACACGATAACTTGAGTACCGTTATAGCTAGGTTGATGAAAATTTATGTACATGTATTATATCAAATTTGTAGTTTTGTATCAAATTTTTCAGCGAATTGGAACTTATTCTACTTTCAATATTACAAAAGCCTATAACTATATAAAATAAACCAGGAGTAATCTCCCCTAAACTTTGTCGAATATTCTTATATAACACTACGTGGGATGGCAACTCGGAATATAGACATTATTTTTAATTACTTAAACTTTTAAAAATTTCATAAAAAACGTTTTAATAGCAAGCTTTTATGTATTAATGCACTAAGAAGTAGAAAATAAATTATAGACTACTATTTAAATAACTATAAAGAAAAGCGTGGGTCACTTTAGTATCTATTGGATACCTTTATTAATGTTTAGGAAGAGATCCACGCTTTTCTTTATAGTTATTTAAATAGTAGTGTATAATTTATTTTCTACTTTTTAGTGCATCAATACATAAAAGATTGCTATTAAAACGTTTTTTATGAAATTTTTGTTTAGTGCATTACATGTTTTTATTTACAATAGAGTTTCATGACTCAAAACCATTGCGCGCCAACTGAACGTGATGGCGCAGCTATTGAACGTGGTGACGTGTGGTTGGATAGACATGCCTACTAATTATATATATATATATATATATATATATATATATATATATATATATATATATATATATATATATATATATATATATATATATATATATAATGTGATTATATAACTGTACTTAAATAATATTAGCGAATTTGTTTATTAGCAAATTTTAAAAACTTTTTGATTAAATATTATCAAATATTTAAATTTTTTCTTTACGTCAGTGTATTTAAATTTAAGCTGAAGATAGATTTATTCCTATAAGCCCTACCTGTGAAATGACTTACTTCGAGTTCGCAGTTTACAGACATCAGGTTCAACAAGAAACCCATCAACGTCAGTTCTAACGCCAGCATGTTGCTGCTCATCACAATCTCTAAAGATAAACCATGACAGCTCAACAATTATATATAGCAACAAAACCAGCTCAAGTAACATGTTATAGCAACATTAACAGATCAACAAATATATTACAAACAGGGGCGGATTCAGCTGAAATTTTTTGTGGGCCCCTACATTTATATATATATATATATATATATATATATATATATATATATATATATATATATATATATATATATATATATATATATATATATATATATTATCTAGAGAGTTAATACATGCTAAGCTCCTGTGTCATTTGTGTTTCTATACAACTGAATGTTGGAGATACGTACAAACATTTGAATAAACGAACGGGTCCGCATCCACCAGGGAACGAAGATAGGAATTGATCTATATATATAACACATGTCATTCAAACAGACGACAAATGATTGTTTGAAAAGTCCTAGTGTGGCCGACAGAAGATATTTTAAAAAATCAGAAAATATCTTAAACTACCCAACGTTGAACAATCATGAAGATTTACAGGATATTTAAACGCTAGCAATAGATCGCGTTGACTGACAAAAGTTCAATTAGTCTAGAGATGCTGCTATCTAATCGTTTACTGACACACAAAATTGTTTAGGTGGGTTTGTTTGGAATGAAATTAAAAGATATTCGGCTTAAATAAAAAAACATATAGAGGAGAATCATATTCAATTACAACTTTCATCACTTAAGCAGTACAAATGCAGGAGAACCTAGTTACACACCTGATATTGCAACCACAGTACCTTTAAAATCGTGCTTGATTATGTTGTAATGTATCTTAAAAAGGCATAGCTGTACCTGTGGCGGAACTAGAAAAAAAGGGCCACCCCGCAAAAGAAACTTTAATATATATATATATATATATATATATATATATATATATATATATATAATTTTGCCGACAACAGCGTGTGTTTGATTGTAGGAGAAAGAGGACTCGGCTTTCACAATGGTTTAAAAACGAAGGGAGAAAGAATATACAAGAGCGTGGAATATATAATAAAACCGCAGCATCAAGTCAAAAATGCAAGAAAATTAATTTTTTTGACTATTAAAAATTGATTGTGGTCGGCTGTAGGAGGTCGTCCATAAATGATGTCACACGCCTAGGGAGGGGAGGGGGTTCAGACTTTTGTGACGAGGAGGGTGGTAGAGACAGTATGACGTCACGTTGTCTTAATTCCACGAATTGATTAACATGCATTTTTTTAATTTTTAGAAAAATAAACATACTAAATACTAAATATTTTTTTTACATTGGTAGCGATACTTCTAAGTTGTCAAAAGATTGTGAAATATGAATTTGTTCTAATTAAATTGCCCTATAATTTGACGATGTGTGTTGTGTAATAGACTGCCGTATATGCAAATTTGTCAATACTGCTATATGAATAAAGGTCGGAAGCATATCAACTATCAACTAGTGAGGGTAAGGCATGGGTATCAGTGTAATGCTTGCTATTCTTTGAAGTTTATAGAGTAGGGCAGTCATAATAAAACTTTAAACCCCGTTTTCCGAATAATTTATTTAAAAACTTATCTTCACACTTAGGGCTGCGACTCTTGCCCTTGATGACACGCCTTGTCTTCCTTAAATCATGGTGTTCATGCCGATAGTTCATGCTTGTTGAACGATCTAGAGGAAAAATACCTAGTACAATCAGTTCCAAGGTCGAGATCACGTGATTTTTGTAGATGCGGCCAAAATAAAAAGCGGATGTGTGTAGGGTCAGCCTGTGATGCGTGTTTATTCGATCAACTCAAATAGGCCTACACGTGTCTTGCTGAATCAACTTTGTCTGTGTGAGGCTTTTCAATTGAAAGGTAGATCTAATAATCTCATATATACTGCTTAAAAATCGACAGTTAATAATGGATAAAAATAAAAATTTCCAATGTATTTTTGATGCCTACGTGCTGGCATATCCTTAAAAGAGTAAAAAGATTTGCCAAGAAAAAGTCGTTGAAAAGTGGACTCAACTAAAAAGCGATTCAGATCTGCACTTGAAAGCGGAGGTCTGGCTGCAGGAGCTAAAAGCAATTGCTGCCGCTAAAAAAAGGCTCACTTTTGACGTTTTGGGCCAAACAAACATCTGTATCTACATCTACAAATAAGAAAACACCCTATGATTTGGCAAAAGAAATACCTAATACTAATAAGTCACTGAAGTCAGATGAAAAAGTGAACGATGCTCATGAAGTCAGTGATTTAAAACCCTCTACCAGCAAACTATCAACATCTAAGCAGGCTAGAGTCCAGATAAACTTACAATCAGAGATTGAGATTATGAATTCTGATCTAGTCGGCTTGTATTAGCGACAAACTCGCGGAATGTTAACGCAAGAACAGAACATGGAGATTAAAGAAAAGAAACAGAAAAAGAGTGGTTTGGAAAAAAAAGCTAAAGAGGAAGATATCTGATCAAATAAGATCTCAGAAAGCTCGAAATGAAAAGAAAACTGAATGCTTTGTTTGAAGAGAATCCGGGGCTACGCGCCACTTTGAATGTTAGATCTAATTATGGCAGGCCAAGGATTGAAGAAGATCAATCTTCTTTATTGGAAACTATCATAAACATTGCTATGCATGGATCAGCATCACACGAGAGAAGGCAGCACGAAGTCTACAGGACTATTAAAACATTAGATCAGCTAACTGATCAGTTAAAACAGGATGGGTTTATAATTAGTAGAAGTGGGCTGTACCTTCGACTGTTACCAAGACGTACTTCTTCTCATGAAGGGCAACGACATGTATCGACAGTCCCAGTAAAACTGATAAGAGCGCAAAACGATTGCCATGCAAATCACACTGATTGCTTGTTTACAGCGGCAACACTGCATCACCTAGAAGAGTTAGCTTCCATGCTTGGACCGAATGAGATATGCTTTATAAGTCAAAATGACAAGGCCCGCGTTCCGTTCCGCAAAAACAGAGTCCATTGCTCATGCACATGGAATACAGGGTGAGCTTGCCTGACCATGACTGGGTTGTGGCTGCTGGACATAAGCTGATCCCTTCAGTTTATGCAGGGATAAAAATTAAGCCCAACGCCTTGGGAGATCGAGAAGCTGTTGGATACTCCGGCCCAACATACATATCAATCAGATCTGGTAAACATTCCTCATCCACAGCGCTTAGTCATGGACTTGATTTTGTAAAATTACTTACATTACATGAATTTGATGATATCACAAAGAGTGGTGTGGATCAAATTGTTAAACAAAAATTAGTGTTGACGGTTGATGGTGGCCCAGACGAAAATCCTAGGTATCAAAAGGTGATCAAAGTTGCGGTACACCACTTTCTCAATCAGAACTATGAGGGTTTGTTCTTTGCTACAAATGCACCCGGGAGAAGTGCATTTAATAGGGTTGAAAGAAAAATGGCGCCACTTAGCAATGAGCTCACAGGATTAGTTTTACCCCATGACCACTACGGCAGTCATTTAGATGAAAGAGGAGTCACAATAGACACAGATTTAGAGAAGAAGAATTTTCAGTTTGCCGGAAACACTTTGGCAGAAATATGGTCACACTTGACAGTGGATACATTTCGTACAGTGGCAGCATACATAGATCCAGAAGAGTCTGAACTCCTTGAAACTTCTCTGCTCTCAAAATACTTCGGTTAATGATCTTGCTAAGATTTAGAAATGTGAATGTATATAGATATCGTCGGTTAAGTATAACTTGTTACTGATATTATTATTTAATCGTTATTAATAAAATTTCTATAAAACCTGCTTAAATTTAAGTCAGCGTGAAAGTATTTCTTGTCCTATTTCAACATCCTCTTCGCAAACAGCAAAACACGCAATTTAATAATCTAGTGAAAAGTCTTTACTATTAAAAATCAATTACATTTATATTGCTTTGTGAGAGATGACATCCGTTAAGTCCATCATATAGGAATATAGGCTACAATGAAATATACTAGGAAAATTAAAGGTCTGGGCATACTGCTAACATTTAAATAATTTGCATATTATACTCAATATATTGTTATTCTCACGTGTGTCGTCATGTCTGCAAGAAATACCTACATTTACATTAAGTATTTTTTAAAAATTAATCCTATCAGCTTTAACATCACCTCACTGTATTACTGTTTACCTGCTGGTGCCACGAATGGGTCCTGCGCGCTCATTTTTAATGCTGTGTCAACGAGCGGTAATTTTAAAGGGATGAAAACACAGCAAATTTAAAACATAGGATAAATTGTAAATTAGGGGGGGGTGGAGTGTGACGTCATTTTAGGGGGTCTGAATTTTTGTGACGATGTGTGACGTAGGGGGGCGGGGGTAAACAAATGGCCAAAAAAAGCGTGACGTCATTTATGGACGACCCCTAGGCCCCTAACCGTCCCCCCCCCCGCATTGCGGGGTCTAGCGGCACTGTAGTTCCGCCCCTGAACTATACACATAAGAAAACAACATTTGAAAACATCTCATACCTTTCTAAACAGGCGTACTGTTGTAAACTTGTTCGGGTTATAGTGCTGCTTGTCGGGATCCAATGGAAGGCGCTGTGTTATAATAGATACGTCACTTTGTATTATGTTGGTATGTGTGATCAGAGCACTCAACACTTGCAGTTCTGACAAAAAACGCCTCCTTGGAGTAATTTACTCACTTGTCGTGTTTTATTAGCGATGTCAATCAAAAATTTTAACGATCGTCGTTAACAGAAAATTGGTGGCCTCCTGTTCAGCCCATTGATCGTATTAATTGAAAACATAAAAAGAATTAATTAATTCATTAAAAATTAATTAGGCATCCAATTAAGTCACATTTATTGTCAGACTGCATGTTATTCATGTCTTGACCCACGTGCCAACTTTGAAACGAATCTGTCTGTTAGAACTGCCGGCAATTTCGCTCGAGCTTTTCGATCCATGACGACAGATAGACAGGATGAGGAAGCAAGTTAAATAAAAGCTTGAAATAAAAGCTTGTTATTAAAGCTTTTTATTAATTAAAAAAATA